TGCTGATGAACTCAGGAGGAGGAGGAGGAGGAGGAGGAGTTGTGTTTTTCCTCCAGCGCTGTGAGCAGTGAGAGCTGTGGGTGTTTGAGCAGAGGTCATGTGGTCAGGCTGCCCATCAGTACCGGAGCTGTCTGACCGAGCTTCTCACCATCTGTATGACCTCTTCTCCCGACCGCCGCCTTTTGTTCTCGCCGGCCTTTCTCACCGAAGGGTCAGCGAGCTTCATCATCAGTCTGAGCCCTCCTCCTCCTCCTCCTCGGTTTTTTCTTCTATTTATTTTTTTTCAGTTTCTTGTTCTTCTTCTTCTGCTTCATTTTCTTGTTCAATTTGTTCTTATCAGTTTTCTTCTGCTGCTGCTTCTCCTTCACTTCTTTTTCTTTATCTGCTTCTCCTTTTGCTTCTTCTGCTTCATTTTCGTCTTCTTCAGAAGAACAAAAATGTTCTCACTTTTTTTCTTCTGCTGCTTCTTGTTCTTGTCCTTCTGCTTCATTTTGTTGTTCTATTTGATCGTCTTCATTTTCTACTTCTTCTACTTCATCTCCATCTGCTTCTTCTTCATTTTTGCCTTCTTTTATTTGTTCTTGTGCTTCTTAAATTGTCTTCCTCTGCTTCTTGTTCTTGTTCTGCTTCTCTTTTTTTATCTTCTTTTTCTATTTGTTCTTCATTTTCTTGTTGTTGTTCTTAGTTTTTCTTCTTCTTTGTGCTGTAATGAAAACCACTTGTTGTTCCACCGTTTGACTTTCCCATGACGTTGAGCACTGATTTAATATCGCCTGTGTGGCAAAATGAAAATGTATTAACTGTTATTTTTAAATCAGTTTTTGACTGTAAAATTACACAATTTTTACTGTATTTAAAACAGAAAAAGGCCCAGACTGTCAATAATAATAACTATGTCCAAATAATAATTAAAATAAGTCTGGATTTTTACAAAATTAATTTGTTCTTTTACAATGTTTCCACACAAAATTCCCAAATTCACTTTATTTAAATCAGTTTTTAATTTATTTATTTTTGCTAACAACTTTTTTTTTTTTTTTTTTTACACATAACTTTACATTAACAACACCTTGCATATTTCACATTTCCTTTTTTCCCAAAATTATTTTACATTAGACGAGTAAATTCTATTTCTTTTTTATGGACTCATTGATTTTTCGTGTATTTTAAAAATGCAAGAAAAAATGATAAAATGACAGATTTTTGGTCTTATGTAGCCAATAATAAAGCAGGTAAACACACACAAAAGAAGTTTATATGTATTTTAAGTTAGTTTGAATGCTCTGTTTTCACTCAGACATCAAAACGACATCTTCTGTTCATTGTCAAAAACAAACAAACAAAAACAAGCCACATTTATTTACTTGGAGTCAAAGTAAGCAAACAGTAAAACAATAAAACTTCTAGAAGGGTCGTGATTAGCTTCCAGCTCAGAGTCTTTTCACTGAGTAACACTGGAGACGATGAAGCCGCTGCAGACTCTGGTCTACAGGTTTATTGGGCCTAATTGGACTGAACCTGGAGAAAAGGCAGCGTTTAATACGTCCAGTCCATCTGATAATGAAATGCAGCTGCACTGTTTGACCCAGATTGTCACAAATCCCGGGGAAGAGCCCACCTCGGCCGGATGACAGCGGCACACTCCCCAAGCCTCCTCGCAGTCACTTAGCAGCTTTATGGCGTCATAAAGCCGCCTCCTGAACACACCGTTTAGGAGATGACAGTAATTGGCGTGTTGTTTAGAGCAGAGCCGGGTGTTTTCACCTCCGTCCTGACAGCAGCAATTAGCCCGAAGGCCGCTCCGTACAGCACATTAAATGGCGGTTAATGCTAATTCGCGCCTCACTCAGCGCACTCTGCCTCCGACTGGTCAAACGGCAGCACCGGCTAATGGCTGGGAGGCAATTGTGGCCGAAAATTACATGATTTACAGTTTGACAACAGAGTGTGGAGCGATGGGGAGCAGAGAGAGTGAGGTGGAAATGAACACAGAGCAAACAAAGAGGGGATGAGTGGCCTTTAAAAACAGTACATTCTGCGAAAAATAAAATAACGCAGCACTGCAGATGGAAGAGAAAGACAAGGAAAAGTTAACATTTGTAGCAATAAAATCAGCTGCACTCTAGAAATTCTAGAAGTTTGCATCAGTTTTTATAAAAACATGGCAACTTCTAAAGAAAATAGCAAATAGTAAACTACGCTGCTTCAGAGGGATTAGCTTTTCTGCTACATTCAAAGCTATTTTAGGTACCACGAACTTTACCACTGGTGTTTTTATTTATTTGTTATTTTATTTATTTAATGACTTTAAAAAAAGATAAAGAT